CCGAGCAGGTCAGAGTCACAGAGTCCCCCTCCTTCACCATGTCCTTGTTTATGGTGACCTGGGGGCTGGGTGGGGAGTCTGAAAGACACAGAGACAAAGAGTCACATGATTCATATCACATTATATCACAGCTTAAATCCACCAATACTCACATTCACTGAAACTGAATTGCATCCAACAAACATGGAGTCAACTTTTTGGAAATCTCTCTGTATTAGTAAAATAATGATCAACACTGATATAAAATATAAAATAGCTGTACCTTTTACATCAATTTTCACCGTTTCATTAAAATTACCCTTAAGAGGATCGTTGCCTTTAATCCTAAAGGAAAAGTTACCAGTCCATTTCATCAGAATATTGTTCAGGACTGTGGTGCAGTTCTTCTTAAATAAATTCCCAGTTATATTTCCCTGAATATCATTCTGTGTTTTATTGGAAAAAAACACAATTTTCTCATTAGGGGCCCCTCTGTTTGACCACCACATTCCGACTGGGGCTTTCAGATATTGATCATAGTCAGATGGAATCTGGAATGTGCAGGGAATCAGCACACAGGATCCATGCAGAGCTTGTATGTTCTGAGGCATCTGGGCTGACCAGGTACTGCACAGAGCCCCTGTAATCATACCAAGAAACACTGCTGTACATTTACACTATAACAAACATGTGAGTATATTACATTAATGTCATAAATTCCAAAATACAAGATATTAAATTCAACCAAAGCCATTAAACTGTGCAAACAGAGGAAACATGCAGTCGGTAAACAGGCAAGTGAAGTCTGCACCCCCCCCTCCTCATTGGCCGTGTCTCACCTTGCAGCAGGCATCCAATGAGAATGAATCTCTCAGCCCCAGTCATGACTTAACTGAAGAGAAGCTTTGATACCAGAGAGCACTAATATGTGTACATTAACCTGCCAGAAGCACAATGTGTTTAGATAATACTCTCAGTAAGTCACGCAGAATTTCAAAAAGCTGAGATGGTTCCTGAGCACAGACCTTCATTCAGTTAGCAGACCATGACTAAACAATAGAGCCATGCAGGAAATAACTATATTAGAGTAAGTTACCTCTCTGACAGGGTCCCTTCTCTGGATCAATATAAAGAAAAAAAATGCAGGTACTGTATTAAATGAATATTCTATGTCTACACTGAATGCTGTAATTACTCTCTTGGGTGATGTGTTCACATCATCCATGAAAGAACTGATCAATGCCTTGAATTCTTAGTTTCACTGCAAGACCAAAATAAACAAATTTAAGGTGGTAATTTTTTGTGAACAAAATATATTTTTGAGAACAATCAAAGCTAAATTGCTGCTATTTGTTGAGTGTGCACTCAGCACAGTAAGATGCAGCACTTGGTCACACAAAACCACGATAACCTCAGGGCCTCCAGGAAGAACAGAACTTGCATACTTTTGCATACATGCAACTTGTGAACAGCACTACAGTAATTCATTGCAAAAAAAACGACGTTTCTTTAACTTCCATGAAAATATTGGGATTTGTTAAAACATTTAGACCACTTCTGAGGCCTTATATTTTGAGGGGACACATATTCTTCATAGTAACTCAGTTACTAATAAAGTAAAAATCAAGGATAAACATAGCAACTACTTGGGATAAAAGATGTGTCATGATTAATTAATGATGAACAAACATGAAATCAGTATCTCACTTGTGTTAATCATTACTTGTTTCTTCAGTAACTCCTTCTGTAATTCACAACAGTTTCCAGAATAGACAGATATAGTAACAAATATACTGTAGTAACTGTTTGGGATAAAAGATGCATCACAATTAATTAATGATGAATGAATATGAGATCAGTATGCAAGTATGACAGTCTGTGGTTACTTAATACATAAGTAAGAGCTTAATACTATATTATTTGTGCTCTCAAGTAAAGCGTTACCCATTTTTTGTAAATACAACCATTGAGACTAAATAAAGATATGCGTTGTATCTCTTAAAATGCAGAGCTGTAACTACAGATGACAAAATAGAGTAAACTACAGTAATAAAACACACTTGTCCATTTACCTTACTGGAGCGAATGCAAAGAGACTGTGTACATTTGAATGCTTCAGAGGCATTTGATTAAACAGGAACTCTGCAGTTTTATTGTGTGAGATGTCACACAGGACGTCATAGTTAACAGCAAAATAGCCCTGCTAAAAGTGAGTGACAGATGTGTTGTCCAATAGTAAAAAAAATTTTTTCTCCAATGTTGCTCCTCCTTAAAATTTCCTTCAGTTGATGTGAAAGATTGATCTGTATATGTGCGGTGTCTCCACAAGAACGGGGATGTTTTATGTGGGGGGGGGGGCTAAAGTTCTTGAAAAACAACAGGAGGGTTGAGTTTATCAAGACAAGAAAGTGGTGAAATGAGAGAGAAAACAAAAAAATGAAGCTGTAGAATAATGTTGACACAATGTGGGGACATGAGCGCGGAGTTTGTGTCTGGGGACCGGAGAGAGAGCGAGGGACCTGTGACTGGGTACATGTGAAAGGGACTTGTCACCTCACTGTGCCAAACCCCAGTGTATCTCTCTTAGCAATCTTTGTTCACAGTGACGATGGTGGCTTAATTCAGGGGTTAAATCAGAATCACAGAGGAGGGGGAGGCCTGTCATGTACACAGTGGGTAGTGGGGGGTGGGGAGGGGGGGTTAGACAGGCTACAGCAGGGGTCTCCAACTCCGGTCCTGGAGAGCTATGTACTGTCCAGTAGGTTTTCTCTCCAACCTGGTTTCCAATGAGCCACATCTGCTGGAAGGAATACTTCAAAGACCTCCTCAATCCCACCGACATGCCTTCCAATGAGGAAGCAGAGTCTGGGGACTTGGGAGTGGACTCGCCTATCTCTGGGGCAGAAGTTGCTGAGGTGGTTAAAAAGCTCCTCGGTGGCCGAGCCCAGGGCGTGGATGAGATCCGCCCGGAGTTCCTCAAGGCTCTGGATGTTGCAGGGCTGTCTTGGTTGACATGCATCTGCGGCATTGCCTGGACATCGGGGGCGGTGCCTCTGGATTGGCAGACCTGGGTGGTGGTTCCCATCTTCAAGAAGGGGGACCGGAGGGTTCCAACTATAGGGGGATCACACTCCTCAGCGTCCCTGGTAAGGTCTATTCGGGGGTGCTGAAGAGGAGGGTCCGTCGGATAGTCGAACCTTGGATTCAGGTGGAGCAGTGTGGTTTTCGCCCTGGCCGTGGAACAGCGGACCAGCTCTATACTCTCGGCAGGGTCCTGGAGGGTGCATGAGAGTTTGCCCAACCAGTCTACATGTGCTTTGTGGACTTGGAGAAGGCATCCGACCGCGTCCCTACGGGAGTCCTGTGGGGAGTGCTCCGGGAGTACGGGGTGCCGGGCTGCCTTATAAGGGCTGTTCGGTCCCTGTACAACCAGTGTCAGAGCTTGGTCCGCATTACCGGCAGTAAGTCGTTCCCGGTGAGGGTTGGACTCCGCCAGGGCTGCCCTTTTTCACTGATTCTGTTCATGACCTTTATGGACAGAATTTCTAGGTGCAGCCAGGGTGTTGAGGGTTTCCACTTTGGTGACCTCAGAATTAGGTCTCTGCTTTTTGCAGATGATGTGGTTCTGTTCAGCATAGCTCATTAGACCGTGACCTTCGGCTCTCACTGGAACAGTTCGCAGCTGAATGTGAAGCGGCTGGAATGAAAATCAGCACCTCCAAATCCGAGACCATGGTCCTCAGCCGGAAAAGGGTGGAGTGCTCGGGGAGAAGGTGCTTCCCCAAGTGGAGGAGTTTAAGTATCTCGGGGTCTTGTTCACGAATGAGGGAAGGATGGAGCGGGAGATCGACAGGTGGATAGGTGCGGCCTCAGCAGTGATGCGGGCACTGCATCGATCTGTCATGGTGAAGAAGGAGCTGAGCCAAAAGGCAAAGCTCTTGATTTACCAGTCGATCTACGTTCCTACCCTCACCTATGGTCATGAGCTGTGGGTAGTGACCGAAAGTTTCCCTGCTGAGACTGCTGCCCCCGCGACATGACCTTGGATAAGCGGAAGTTAATGGATGGATGGACGGATGGATGTAAATTTGTGATTTACATATATTATAGTGTTAATTGTGAAATGAAAAATGACTTTCGTGAGTTCAACAGGTTGCACCCGTGGTAGCGGATTGCGGCGGGGGGGATGATACGAGATTGTGAACGTTTGCGTTGTGGTTCCGGTCTCAGTTTCAGAACCGTTACGCCCTTCATTTATACCCAGTGTTCCCTACAGAATTAGTGGCGGTGGCTGACGGGGGTGCTGGTGTGTGCGCGTGCACGGAGGCACACTAATGCTTTCTTAAATTAATGATCATAATGCATGCATTTCCTGCTTTGTCTTACATTAGGGTGCCGAACATGCGCAAGATCATAGAGACTTTAGATGCTTAAAAAAAAAAAAAACTTAACCAGCGTATAACATGCAACGTCAAGTTCACCAGTAGGTTATGCTTTTTACTCAGGCTCACAGGCTATAAAAACACCTATGTTTAGCTGATAGAAATTAATTTTGTCCTTAGTAACAAAAGTAAATCCTCCATATATGACAAACCACACAATGCCACTGCCTGAATATGTCTGTTGAAGTGATCTAGGATGCATCTAGCAGGCTTGCAAGTGAATTCACCAGTTCTAGATCACAGCACTGCTGTTTGCTAATCGGTCTATGTTTATGTCCTATAATGACATTCAGCGAGCAACGTCTGATAGTATATTTTACTACATATTTTACCTTAAAGCAGTTTGCACCAGCACAGAAGCAACTTCTTTCTTTGCATTACTGGTCATGGGAAGACTAAGTTCACAATGAGCAAGCTGGACCCAACAGGATGTATGATGTGATTTATTTGCATCTAGCGCAGGGCTGCCCAACCCTGCTCCTGGAGACCTACCACTAGCTATGCTGAAGCTAAGCTG